CAACTGAGCTACCCTGCCAGGGCTTTCTGCAATTTAACAATTCATATTTGTTGAGGTCTACATGTCATTAATTCAAATATTTTCCATATTATTCCCGTTTTCCCATAAGAAGTATTTCACATCTTGGTAACATTTAACCCAGTGGGACAATTTTGTTCCCCAGAACACATTTGGCAATGTTTAGAGACATTTTTGGTTGTCACAACTTGAGGGTGGGGGGCTGCTACAGACATCTAGTATGCAGGTGCCGAGGGAAGCACCTCCACAACAAAGAATCATTTGGAACAAAACGTCAATAGTCTGAGGTTGGGAAACTGAAATTTAACCAAAGGAATTATTGTTGCACAATTTTTGTTTGTGGCTAAGATCGTCTGTTACTTAAATTAGAATAGTGAATATTTGAGCAGTTTGTGGCAATGACATTGGGATTTTAACCACTTCTGAATGTGTAATTATACTGCCTCCCCAAACAAATGCAACTTTGTGCTTATAATCTCCTTTAAGTTTCTCAAATTTGCTTTTAAGATTTGCATCCTCTAAAAGACTTTATATACATATATAAATATATGTATATGTATACACATACACATATACACACCCATATATTTACACATACATTCTAAAAGGCAAACAGATGATAGATATACAGACAAGACAAACTACTTACTTCAAGCAGTGAGCACACAGGTAGAATGGCAAATATTTAATCCAATGAGTTATTTTTTACTTTCTTTAGGACACGTATACCTTGCTGTAAAGCCAAAATTCCTAAGTTTTTATCAATCAATATATAAAACATGAACAAAGCTTTCTTTTGTCATATAGTATCAAATTATGTTCTTTTACTCAATTAGAAATCTCATTTGTCTTTTTTGGAGATCTGCAATATCCTTGGAATAATACACTTTTAAAATTGCTTAAGAAAGACACACAATTTAGCCTGTTTCTTTTTTAAATGCAATCACAATGCAGTCATCCATTTTTGTTTTCAGAAAAGGTATTTTGAATGTTTACAGCATTAAATTTGCTTCCTAAAAAAATTAATGTGTGTAATGGGGGAATGGGATGTGGATAGGTTTTGTCTTATCAGTCTAATGAAGGCTGGCATTCATTTAGCTAATCTGGGTGATAAGAGGAAAACATTCTTTGACAAAGTATGGTGTTTTGGTCACATGTATACCACATAAAGTCAAAAGATTACCTCTATACCTAAACCATATGATCTCTGATATATCAGCTTAGTTTTTTCTTGTTTTCAACATAACTGGACTCTTTTTTAAACATTTATAAATATTAACAATTGGTGAAGTGAGAACATCTTTTGGCACACCTGGGAAACTCATTCAAGAAAATAGTCATCTGTCATATTAAAGATAAATACATAAATGCTTCAAGGATATGAACATGGGGGAGTCATACTAAAACTTTCTACTAACTTGTTATAGTATTAGTAAATCACTCTAATGAACCAACTCACATTTATGTTCAGAGTTACTTGGAAATATTACTGGCTGGTCCCTTGTATGGCATTTAATCTAGAAAACTTTTTAAAGTAACTTGGTACCTACTACAATTGTTCTTATTTTCAACATGGAGGGTCCCTCTACTGGGGTAGATTTAACAATGCAAAAATAATTAAAATATGACCACTGCTTTTCCCTACAACTGATGCTAAATTTGTGAATGTTTAAGTTAGTTCATCATTGGAGACCAGCACTTACACTTTCCTAAGGAAAACTCTTCTTATTCATTACCACAGGCAATTAGGAATGGGAATGAGAGAAGCAACACGCACACAAGCATACACATTCCCCATCGTCACTTCCTCCCACGATGGTTTCTGACTGTTAATAGGCAGCAGGAAAATGAACGATTATAATATCTCTTTTGTCATCAGTAAAGAAAATGAGAAGTGGCTATCAATTAACTAAAAATTGAATCATATGGCTCTGAAGAATTTAAGAAATTAAATTTCTTTCAAAAAACATTTTAGTATGTCGAAGTCACTAATAACTTATTAGTTTAGATATTGACTTACAAGGTATACATGATTTACTACCTTAAAATGTAAATAGCCAGTGGGAATATACCTCTTTCCTATGTGAAACGTTAATTAAAATAACAACAAACCCTGAAGTTAGTTCCTAACTTTAAGCTTTAACTTAATTCTCTGTAGCAGAATAAAATCATGAATATTAAGATCCTGGGTCAGAAAACACAGTCTGTTTTGAGTATTTTAGATTTTATTATCTAAAAAAGAAAATCTAAAAATCTTGACTAGCAATTCTAATTTGTAGAGTTTCAAGATATGGGAGAAAAGATTAACTTAAATTTAGAATTTAAAAAATATTTCCAAGTTATAGACTAATGAACTATTGTCATCCTATTTTATAATCTTAATTAAAAAAATGCTGCCCTGGCTGGTGTGGCTCAGTTGGTTGGGTGTCATACCATGCACCAAGAGTGTCGGTTCAGTTCCCGATCAGGACACATGCCCAGGCTGTGAGTTCAATCCCCGGTAGGGGGCGTGGAGGAGGCAGCCCATTGATGTTTTGCTCTCACATCAATGTTTCTCTCGCTCTCTCCTTCCCTTCCTCTCTCTCTAAAAGTCAATAAAAAAATATTTTAAAAATGCTATTATTTGATTAAACTGTTAAGATAATAGTAATATAATGTATCTAACCAACAGTAAGTAAATGTCACCACTATTCCTATTAACAATTGATTCCATGGCACAGTGTAAAATGTTCTTCCTGAAAAGACTCTCGCTCAGCTTCTGGCTTCATTCCCTGACCTGACACATCTCTCTACCCCATGTCCACCTATTTCTGACTACTTTTAAGTTCCCAGAACATATGTGCTCTTGAATAACCTCTTCTGCCTTGAAAATTGTCCCTACTTATCTGTCTTTAGGAATCAGTTCAAATGAAACCTCCTATGTGAAGTCTCCCAGTGTTCCCAGAGCGCTGGGTATACCCATACATTATAGCATGTATCAAAATACTGCAACTGTTTGTAAACACGTCTGTCCTTCCCACTACCCGCAGGAACAACAAACACACACACACCCCTTTATTTTTGTATCTTCAACATTTAGGTGCTTAATGTTTGTAAAATTACAAACATTTTTTAGGGTACTTTTTCACTAAAAGCCCATCTGTTGAAAGATTTCTTTTTTAACATGTGAGAGTTGAATGTCTATATTCTACAATGTCTACACATTCAAAGATTACCTTACTCCTTCCAAACCAAGTATACTGGACATTTATTTTTCTAAGATTGAATTAATTAATTAGATCAAGGAGACCATTTATGAGGTCTAAGGACAAAGGGCACTAATGTCGCACAAGCCTAAGATTGCTAAAAATCTAAAATATATGGAATTTGCTTTAAAGGAGAAAAGAGCAAAAAAATTAACTGTCCTTAAAAAGAATGATTGTATGTTTATCAAACACTCAGCTTCATTTAGGCATTTAATTAAGCCATTTATTGCTTCAAGTGTGTTACCATGAACATTTTGATATACACTCCACAGCAGTAAGGCCTCAATTTCCACCACCTATAAACTGTGAACCCACATTTGTATTTTTAGGTGCCACCAATTGTTACACGAGTTTTGTACAACGAAGATTCTGAATGTGTATTTTATAATACCAAAAACACTCATTATACCCCTTGGTGTAAATGTCATAATGAATACTAATAGTTGGCTACATTTTTTTTGATGAGGTAGTTCCACGTCTGGCTATATGAGATATTAACAGGTTCCGCCCATTATTAAATAACTGCACAAAGTTTTGGTTTTCTTCTTTATACATGCTTCATAAAATATTCTATCTTTGAGTTTAAGATTTGTCAAAATGTTTTCTGAGTGATTTGGTAAGCAGTGGAATTCACATACTGAAAAGGGCTGTAGCAGCTGGAAATAGCGATGTTCCTGATTCTGACAAGGAACGTTCTCTTAAAATAAGGCTGTATTTAAGGCTTTATCCTTTGACCAATTCCTATGATACAAATAAGTTTTGAAAAATCATTATATATAATTAGAACATTAAACACTAAGCATCTCCAGGCAACATGCTGATAGGCTAATGGAATACTACATTATATATTATTTCTTAAAGGTTTATAAAATCTCCATGAAATACTGAGTACCAACAAATCATGACACTTGTGATACTATGAAATCATGATAACTAACAAATGAACCAAACTTAGCTTTAAGGGCTGTCCAGTTATAAAATCAGACTGCAGCAGCTCAGAATTGTGGAATGGCAAAGCTGGAAGAGACCTTTGAAATCCCCTATCTAACCCATACCCTTTGGGTAGCATTGCATAGATTTCACAGTTTTCTGAATAGGTTCTAAGAGACTCATAAATAGTTTTCATTAAAGCAAAACTCTGATGGACCCAGTAAGTTTTGATATAAAAAATATGATATAAGTATTTTAAAAGCTTTAAGGATTTTTTCTACCGACCTGACTCCATAGAATGCAGAATTTACAATTTGAATAGCACCTATAGAATAAAACCTTAGAAGTGCTTTAGAGACTTCCTTCAGCTAGCATCACCCTAGTTTAATAATGCCCAGTTATTAAAAATTTGAATTAACTGTCATACCAGCATGTGGTAAAATAAAAAATAGAAATGAATTTTAAGCTCCAATCCAGTGGGCTGCTTTACTTAAACTGGCCACGCTGCCACAAGTGAAACATCTATAACCATTATTTTCATTTTATCTGCTGTAATTAGACTTCTTTCATGTCCCTCCAACTGAAGGAAAAGCCAGAGAGATGATCTAAAAAAATACATTTGCATTTCAAATTTACATTAAAAATGTCTTTCCCTTATTTTCACATCACAAATTCTAAGTATTATTAAAGAAATCACAGATTAAACAGCTTTCTGTGTCCTGGGCCTCAGTCTTTTCTAGATTATGAAAACTGGAATTTAATTGTAATTGAGAAATTTTCATTAAGTGTGTAAAGTATAAATACAAATAATTTTTTAAAAACTTTATTTTAACACCTAATACAATTCCAATTTTAAGGATTACTTGCACAAAAAAATAAACACATTTGGTATAAAAATGTATCACTTTAATACCCTTTTCCCTTCGGCCCCTCCCCTCCCACCCTCATGAACTGCACTCTGTCTGGATGTAGAAACATATAAAGACTAATGGCACAGATTCGTTTTTAACTACAGGAGTTTCTGTTTATGTACCCAGGTACTCTAGAGGACACCAGCTCACTTTATCACATGAACCATTTCCTTCAGCCTGCTGAATGTAGCTTCACAAAGAAACAAAGCTTATTATAAAGGCATTTAAAAAACCATTATCATAAATGCTTTTTAGAAGCACTAACTTTTTTTTTAACCATTTATATACAGTGTTACATAAACAGCTCTGGAGTACAGTACATGCAGCAGAACATACCTGTTGAATATAAAATACTTTTCTTAAAATCTTCATCGTTGGAATTCTTTGAAGTCTAAATTATAGAATGCCCATTACTTTATGAAAATGGCTGAGGAATACAAATGTCTGCATATGTTGGCCACTGAAATAATCCAAGGCTAACTGGAATAATATTCATAGCACACCAGGAGTGCATAAATAATTTACTTACATTATTAAAATACAACCCATAAAATTCAAGTTCAAGATCTTACAGGATTGTCTATGTAAATCCTTTAAGTGGTTGCCTGGAAATGCACTGTATCTTCTCTTTCTTCTTTTTTAAAGTCCTATATAAAATGTTTAGTTGAAGTTTTATTCTTTCTCAAATGAAATGAAAACCTTTATTTGTGCCGACTGCCTCTCCTCTTCATGGCAGCAGTACACTGTGGACAGTACCATTTTCCTTTTGGTGCTTCTGTCAGTCCAACACATCCATAATGGAACCATTCGATAGGACACTAGAAAGCAAAATTGCAAAGAAATCATCTTTAGTTCCTTTAAAGATTAGGGAGTATATTAAAATGTGTCCATTAGACCAAATATTAATTAGATTAATGGAAACAGAATGTTTAGATCTAGGAGCTGATTTATAAATCAAATGATCCAACTGAACAAGCTTCAGAGATGAGGAAAGAGAGACACAGAAAAATTATGCATCTTTGTTAACTGAGGTTTGTGTAATCTATTCCCATAATCCTAAATAATTAACTAAAATTCACTAATTTTCATTTTCTTGGAGAGTAAGTTGATGCTAAGTTTTAAAGACAAGAAGAAGTGAGAATGGGCCTCTTATGTAGAAAGTAAATGTATTTCAAAGATTTTACTTAATATTCAGCCTCACCCAGCCGGGTGTGGCTCAGCGGTTGAGAGTTGACCTAGGATCCAGGTGATCGGGGTTCAATTCCCGGTCAGGGCACATGCCCGGGGTGTGGCTGCAGCTGATCAATGACTCTCTCATCATTGATGTTTCTATCTCTCTCTCTCCTTCTCCTTTCCTCTCTCTGAAATCCATAAAGATGTATTTAATATTCAGCCTTATTCACTCCCAAGGAGCTACTTGTAATTAAAGACAAAGGAATGCCCTGGTTTTCCCTTTTGGGTATACCCATTCATAGATATGCAGAGGAAAAGTACTGTACTCTGCAATATAGTAGGCAGTTCTACACTTCCATAGAAAATCTTAGCGTTCAGATGAGTGTAACTGGGAATGAGGGAGATCAGAATATGACAGAGCATTCACTGAACTCTTATTCATCATTTCCACTAACTGCCCAGAGGACAGTTTCCAATGGTGTTCTTTAACTGTTTGGGCAATGTTGTATTACAATAATCACAAACAGCTCACAAGCGATTCTAAAGAAGGAAGTAGAAGGAGGGTCTTTCTCTATGTGAACAAGTTTTTGGGACCGTCAGGTCAGGGAAAGTCCAAATTTTAATGCACCTAGCCAACCCTGCTCAATCTTCACGTTGTTAAAAAATTTAAATCTCTTAGTATCCGGACATTCTTGAGTAGGATTTCTATAGAATTCAGAGTTGTTACCCCTTTGGAGTAAAAAATGGACAAGAGTTATATGAAAGTAAGGAGGGAGTGGAAATTACTAAACAAACATATTCTCAGCATTCAATAAAAGCGTATCTTTGACCAAAATTAAGCTTTCAAAAGAAAGAGCAATTTCAAACCTTTTATTTTTTATATCAGGAGTGATTTTTTTTATATCAGTTGACACCTGTAGAGTAGAGCAGGACATACTACACTAATGGGAGGAAAATAATCTCACATTAGATCCTCAACATTCCCACCCTTCACCTGAGCATCATGCTTCTTGAAAGAATATACTGTTTTTGAGTTCCAATTCTTCATTGTGATAAGTGAACTGGATTCTAGTAAACACAATATTCTTTAGCAGAGGGGAAGGGGGGTATTTCTAATTTTCATTCAACATAACATGTTTTTGAGAAATACCTGCATAAAACCATAAAATTATCTTTAAAAGTTAGGGAACACATTAATGGACACTATCCTATTTTGGAGAGGAATATTCTAGCATTAATATGACATAATTAACATAACTGCAAACTGTTTTCTTAGACTGAAAGACATAGTAAATAAAAATATTCAAGTAATAATATGTGATTTTTTTCATTCCTAAATAGAAAAATTTAATACTTACATCTTGGTTATCACAGCCCACCATCTCACCATAGGATACCTAGTTTAAAAAAACAGTCTTATTATAACTATATAATAAGCACCTACATCCAAATTAATTGTTTATGATACTGTTAGAAAATAGAAATACACTGAATATACAACCACAATAAGAAAGAGGGTATACAGATTTAAAGCTCATATATTTTTTCTAAAAAAGACTTTACAGGGGCACAGAGATGCACAGAAATTATGTGCTCTTTGAAAGCATGAAAGAACTTGCTCCTAAAATCACCTCGCTGTGAGAGTCACCTTTCTGGGTGTTTCCTTTTGTAAAGACTTTAAGTTTCTTTTTTGGTTACTCACCTACTTAAGTGTTGTTTTTTTGTCATGTTAGGTCATTTATATTTTAGCAGTCAACAGTCCATTTCATTGAAACTTCTAAACTTATTATTTATTATATGTCCTTTTTCATTTTTCTTTTTGCTGTTCCTAATTCTTGAATTCACTGAAGTTCTCAATGGACTGAATAATTTTTCAGAAAAGGGTAACTAGATGGCATACTTTCTGATTCTATGCACATAAACAATAACTCCTTTGGGTAACAATTTCTTTGGGGGACACTCAGATTTCTCCCTCAAAGCTCTACATATGTACTTCATCAACTTATAGTTTTTAGAGTTATGGAAGAGAAATTGTGGGTGAGTCTGATTTTGTTCTTTATGTGGCCTACTTATATTGCCCAGGTTTTTACAGGATATTCTTCCTTAACCCAGGAACAGAATCACCAGCACCTTCGTCATGGATTACCCAATCTCCAGAACTGTGAGAAATAAACTTCTGCTCTTTAATCCATGCAGTCTGTGGTATACTATTATGGCAACAGGGGCGGACTAAGGCAGTATATGCGTGTGGGGTATATAGTAGTGGTCCATCAAAATGTTTAGTTACAGGTTACATCTGAGGGCTGAGATTATGGTTGACATACATGTTTCTTTATACTCTTTGTATTTACAACAAACATTATTTTTATAAGCAGGAGAAAATTGTACAAAACAAAAAAAAAGCAAGGGTATTTTAACTGGAGTAAAAATAGCACCTAAAAAAAATGAAATTGCTCTTTTTCCCAGTTTGTTCAGACCATGCTTTTATAGACATATGCCAGACTTTTACCTGATTACAAATGCAGTATCGTGGTTCATTTGGGTCGTAAGTCCAGTCAACCTGACTATTTGAATCAGATTCTGGTACTACTGTTGTTTGTTGAGAGATTTCCTGTACGACAGTTGACGATGAAGAACATGACGACAAGGAAGAGGAGGAGGAGGAGGAGGAGGACTGCTGGCTTGAAGACTTGTTGTTGTTTCTGAAAAAATAGTGTCAGTTTTATTTGCTCAGCATCCAAAAGTTAGCTGAGAATAACTCCTAAATAAAAGTGGTATGAAATGAAATCCAATGTATAAATTAATGTTTAAGACCAAATTAATCTGTTAAAACAGATTTAAAAGCAAAATTGTTTAGAACAACAAAGAGCAACATTTTTCATAATGGTTTATTTTTGTTTGACATTTTTTGTTCTCTGGAGAATAAAGGCATTCAAAAGAAAATTTTTTCAAAATATTTCAAAGTTTTTAAAACAATTTTTTAATCAGTTACTATTTACTATTGACTTAAATTGCAGGCAATACCTTTAAGAATTAGTATTAGTTATGGCTCCCTTACAGACAGTCTTTGTATTTTTAAGCACACTGAATACTCTTCATCAAAATCTAAAACACAAATATATATATACAAAAGCATTTGGTGAAAATGATCATGACCGTCAACCAATGTGTGAATACTTACCAGTGCAGGACAGAAAACCAAGAGTTTTAAAATTCACAAGAAATTTACCATTATCTGTATGCTAATTAAATTTTTAAAACACAGAAATTTATCACCAGCAGTTATAATAAATTTGGGTCAATAAGATGAATTAACTTTTAAAATACTTAGCACTTTTGTGGTAATTCTACATTGATCGTTCTTTTAGGGACTTGCTCGCAAAAATAGAATACATTAAAAGATTATAATACAATTAGGTAACTAATTCTGTAGGCCTAGCCAGAACTTTCATTATGTATGAACACCTAGCATATGCAGGTACTTAGGACAGACATTGCCAAATATCATTACATTTTCATATTTAAAGTTCATACATCCTAAGAGTGTCACATATAAAATCTAGAGATATTTTCATAATTTCAATTTTGGGGATATAAGACCAAGAATTAAGACACCTTGTTCTTAATCAAAATGAAGAATCTTATTTAAAAACAAAAAATTCCCAATATAATTTGTATTTTATGTATTAATTTACCTAAAACACATGACAAAATAAGGGGTTATAAATGAAGAAAGTTTCATAAAATGGTTTATTCTAATGAACAAAAGAAAGTAAACAGAAATAATTTACCAATTTAAGAATCTAGAAAAATTAAAGAATCTTAACCCTTTTTAAAGACTTCACCCCTTCAGAGTATGGCAGTGTCAATGACCACGTCACGTCTTCTACCTCTCCAAAGTTCACCCTGATCCCTTATATGCTGCCTTTGTTTACCATATGAAAGCCCAGTGGATGCCACGCTGACTGCACACTTGGTCAAGGTACAGAGCTCCTGTGACGGTAAGACTTACTTGCTCTTTCTCCCGCTCCGTGAGTCTGCAGCTGCTGCACTGGCATTCTGTGTCAACGTAGTCATAAGTGCTGAAGACGATGAATAGCCAGCTGTTTCCCTGGGCATTGAAAATTCTTTTCCCAGCTGAAAGTCATTATTTTTAAATGCTTCATAACTGGCTTTTAAACTTGATGTTCTTCGGCCCTCTTTCATCTTGAATAGACATTCATTGATAGTATTAATATACATAAATATGTAGATTTTCTTTCTCAGGTGTTACTAGTTACAAGATCATTTTGGTTTAACCAATACTACTTTATTTTGTTTAAACCATTTTCATCACTGTAGTTTTAAGCTGTTTTATATAAAGAATTTAGAATCAGTTTTTACACAGTTATGGAGTAACTACAGGATCGGTAACTTAATTTGGAATGGAGACAAACTGTACAGAAGTGAATCAATTCAAGGCAGCCTGAGTTCTGATGCTAGAGAGAAAGCCCTGGAACTGGCAGAGAGAAACAAATATTATCCTAGCAGGTGCTAGGATAATTCTAGCAGGTCAAGAATATGGACATCATGAGCAATTATTGTGAGAAGGAATCTGCATGAGGTTGTATGAATATATTTTTTTACTTTTCATTATCAATCAAGTAACTTCTACATGTTCATTTCACTAAATAAAGTGTCAGATATCATAAAACTATGATTTAAAATGAAACTATACAATTAAGAAAACTTTCTGTTCACACCTATTTGTTTCTACTACAGTTTGCCAATATTTTGAACAAAACTAAACACTGTATTCCCAAACCTTTTCCTTTTTTCACCTGAGCTGTAGCTTGAACTGCTTGAGCTGCTGCCATGGTAATTGCCCCTGCACCAGTTCCTGAAGATAATGAGCCGATGTTATAGGACGCCAGAGGCTGGGAGGAATTCACATTGTAAGCATTGTTGGAAGAGGCTGTAGAATTATTGTTTCGACAACCTGTGTAGAATTAAAGAATAAATAGAAATGGTCAGAGAAAACATAATGTGTGTTTAAGTAAGTGTTCTGACTTTAATAATATAACACATTTCAGACTTATCCACACAGTAACAATGTAATATGTTAACGTAAATAAAACTGCTTTTGATACCAGAAATAACAAAAAAACATACATTTCTCACCACAGATATAATCATTAATTTAAAATTTTCATGTAACTATAAAATTTTCATGTCATATTTTTCCTTTTTATTCTTTTTCCTTATGTAGACTTTAACCAGGTAAAGAATCTGTATGATTCATTAACCCTGAATGCTTTCATTTCCCCTTAATTTAACACAAATAAGCAAAAGCAACCAATCATATTTAAGAAATATACTTACCTAGTGTATTTTCCTTAGAGGCATCTGATGTTAGGGTAGATAGAAGAGCTTCAGATTTAAACTTCTTTTCAGGAATATGATCTGTTGTCGTATGGTGAGAAGTTGGGTTATACTTTCTTTCTGCATATAAATAAAGAATCCATGTGTTTTTTAACTTTAGAGAACTATGGACAAGGCATAATACTTCCATCTAGTTATAAACTGGTACAGTTATGATCTGAGTTCCTCATGAAATACAGAACATTATGTTTTCTTAGAAGACAGGACAAGCAGAACTCTGTGTGCCACATGTTTTATCAAGAGCTGACTGCTTAGACATTTAAAAAAAAAACCCACTTCAGTAGCAAAGTATTGAAGATAATCCATGATACACAATGGTTTCACATGTAGCATAAGGGAAATTCTGTTGTGAAAACATTATCTACAATTTAGATAAGTTTTCAATCAACCCTTCTTTCATGTCAAATTGATCTGTCAAAAAATGCAAATAGTTATCAAGCCACCTGACTAACCATTCAGTCACTAAATGAAACTTTATTATATGCCAAACAGTAGACTAAGCACTGAGAAGCAAGAATGAAAAATACAAAGAGCCTGTCATTAAGTACTTTATTATTTAGCTAAGTTGTAACACTCCCGAGAGAGAATCAGGTATTTGTATGTAGGAAGTATATGCTGTCCTTAGTACCACACACTCTTCCTGTATGGATTCTAGGGAAAAACAGATTCCCCATTTCCAAATCAAATATGCTTTTCCCAAGTGAAGAAGAGAAGTCTGCCAATAATTGCAATGAAAACTATATATCTAATAAAAAGAAGGGAAAGATACTTATTTTACAATCAGCTGGGTAGCTCTAATAAAAGAGAATATACAGGTAACGTGAGTTTTTAATTGTATTTAAAATTTTATTTGCACTAAACTAAACTTACTTTCCACTGGAGTATGTGAATGAGCATGGTGATTGTTCACTGGCTGTGAAGGAGTATCTAACTCCAAAGATCCTGAAAGAGAAAAAAAGGCACAGGGATTCATTGCCATTAACTGTCACCACAGAACTTTACATGTCAATCAACTACAGGTACTGTGTACCCTCACCTAGCAGAGAACTAGCAAACTCTGATGCATATGCCTGTATCATTTTAGTCAAATATTGCCAATTTTATCCTGAACCAATTTCATACTTTCTGTAAACAATAAGTAACCCATTTCTCAATAGTCATCTTAAATACAAAACAGGTCAAGGCATGCTAATATCTAATAAGGGAACTCATGACAGTAGGTACCACATAAGTGGATGAATGGATATTATAACTCCATTACTGATAAGAGCTGAAAAACTCAACCTAGTTTTACTGAGTTGAAGACTTTTCCATGGGAGATCCTAAACTATTAAGCAATGGGACATTATTATACTAAAGAAAATTCTTTAATCATTAAAATGACATAAGATAGTACTGTGGAAAGGGAAGCATAGACTCTCCACTGCCAACCTTTAAAATATTTTTAAAGAAATATTCTGGGTTTATTTTGATCCCTTGAGATGAAATTGTGGCACGGCATAGTGTGGAACAGTTTTTATATCTTATCTAATTTAGTTTCATTTGTCTGTATCCTTATGAGGATGCTTCATGAACCTTCCTGAAGTACTGAATAGGCATGAATTATCGTTACTCACAGCTATTACAGCATGTCAAAAAAAATAATAATAAAAGCAACTAAAAGATATTTTATTTTGTCTCAAAATACTTATTATCTTCAGATAGGGTTCCCCCAGAATAAAAGTATCACAAACAAATTAGATGAACATCTAAATTGATGGATCCACTTTTGAATACAAAATACAACTATAGATACCAAGATGGATTTGTACCTGGCTGCTTCTCTAGTTAACAGAAGTATATCAACAGAGTATATTAACAGAGATAAATAACCTAACTCTGTAAAGAAACCTTTCCTGTGTGTGTGTAGAAATATATACATGTTCTTGACACTGAAATACATCAAGAAAAAAAGATGTTTGAATCCTTTAACTAAATTCTAGTAGAAATCAGCCATAATTCTGATTTTGTTCACTAATATATATCAGATATCTACTGTGGGCTTAGCACCACACTATATGCTTTTATGGACATTATCTATTTAGGTTGGAAGAAATGCTAAATTAGTTAAAGAAAAAAAGCTCACATCTCCATTTTTGGGAAGTCTCCTTAGTTAAATCCAAGAAGTGATAAGGGTAAACTACAGCAAGAGATCAAGTTGAGCCTTGCAAAGAAATATTAAAATGGCTTCTTGCTGATACAAGAAAGTTTAGAAAGACTGTTTTGTTCTTACTACTCATCTTACTAGCATATATGCATATTAAAAAATGGAATGACTTAATATGTTATTTTCATAGTGAGTGAATGAATATCCTGTTATCTCTATGCATTTCCATGACTCAAACAGTTGGAACTGCCAAGGTCCAAGATCTCCGACTGGTTGCCACCATCCACGGGAAGTGCAGGATCTGAGAAGTCTCTGTGGGTCAAGTGTCTCCTCAGTGATTTGCATACATACTGTCCAACATTGATGGAAAACTGTAAATTTTACTTACGCCTCTCTAATATTTCTGTAATTCCAGCATTATCAGCTTCCAGCTCCATTTTAAACTTAGCCAGTTCCTGATCCAGCTTTCTCAAGTGTCGATCTACCTGTTTCAAAGAAGATCAAAGATAACCACCAAAATTTGGGACCCTATTAAAGTGTCAGTTCAATGAGGAAAACTACATCTTTGTTTCTGTTAATGAATCTGTTTTGCATCCGTTAGCAGATCAATTAACCTATACCTCAGGTTTTTAATCTATAAAATGAGGAAGCTGGCTAAACAATCTCCCAAGTCCCCTTTAATAAATTTTAAGTTTTAAGAAAGCATAATTGCAGTTTGTTAGAAAATGTTTGAAAAAAGTGGACATAAAAACTAAAGCAAAGATGATATTAGGGATTTGGGGGAAGGGGAAGCACAGGAAGGCTAGTAACTTTTCATAGTGTGCCCTGGATTATTTTTAGCCTAATCTCATCCTATTTATAACAAGGCCATCCACACTGCCATACCACATCATTGTTATTTAGAATGAGTAATGAAAGATCCTCAGTCTACAGCCAAAGAAGCTATGATATTCTATACATACACATCTCTAAGGCAGGAAAATGGACCATTATACTTGTAAACATTTATGAAAGGGTTGAAACAAAAGGAGATTTTAGCCAGAGAACTCCATTCCCCAAAGAGCCTAGTTAAAATGTTTTTTTTTGGTAAAACTATTACCCTTGTAAGGGTGGTAAATTTTATTTTCTCATTCACCTAGAAATCCTTTGACTGATTTCAGAAAATTATATGACACCTCAAACTAGCAACAAGTCTTCATTTATTTTTTATTTTTTAAAAATAAGTTTTTATTGATTTGAGAGAGAGAGGAAGAGAGAGGGAGAGAGAGATAGAAACATTGATGAGACAGACACATCAACATTGATCAGCTGCCTCCTGCATGCCCCTGCTGGGGATGGAGCCCGCAACCTGGGCATGTGTTCTGACTGGGAATCTAACCAGCGGCATCCTGGTGCATGGGTAGATGCTTAACCACTGAACTACACTGGACAGCCTTCATTTATTTTTTTAAGCTTAATATTAAATATTTTATCAAATGTAATACTTTAAAGTCAAACCAAAAAAATCATGAATTCTTTGAAAAATATTCTATGTTACATTATTGACAACCTCTTTTTTCAAACTCTAATTTGCCACAGGATCATTGTTATAATTAGTAACTTTCTTATAAATATCAAAATGTCTATGACACATTATAAGAGCAAAAACTTTAAGTAAGAATTTCAATTAAATAATGTGTATCTAAAATAAGGGGAAAGGGAAGAAAAGTAGCAAAAGACAATTTGTGTGTGTTAGATACCAGGTAATGTGCTTGGTGCATTAGATGGTCTATCTTTTCTAGCCCTCCCTCTTATCTTTTGAGATAAGTTATTACTGTTTCTATTTCAAAAGAAGAAATTAAGGTTCACAGGGGTTAAGTAACATTCCCCAAATCAATAGATAATGCATTACAGAAATGAGATTTAACTCTGATCTATATGTAATAAATTGTGTTTCACCATTTATGGCTAACATTGTGCTCTGAACTTGTTTATGCAGAAGCCAACTGTTTTTTTTTTAACTCAGAGTAAGAACTGAATTTGAAAAAACAGCAATATTGTCCTATTATTTTTATTTTGTATATTAACAGCAACCATTGGGGTGTTGGTTTGTGATTTTTCAGTATTTTAAAGCCGAATTATTCCTCCATCTTCACACATAAGTTATTGTTAAGAGCTTGGTTCAAGTTATAATTACAATATTTAAAATCCTATAGAGTCACACATTATGGACACTTGCTCCTATTCAAAAACCTGCAGGTAATTTAGCATCCTTTAAAGGAATCTCCTTTCCAAAAATAAAGTGTGAACACAGACCTCAGTTATTCAAGAATATATTTTACATTGTCAAAACTTAATCTCAAGGGAAATCAGAAAAAATACTCATATTTAAATTCCAAGACCATTTAATCCACCACCTTTCTTACCTACAATTATACTACTAATAAATACTGAGTTCTATTGTGGGCTTGGTCCTGGGTTACTTGGAGGATACATGAAGTATGAGAGAATCCCTGCCTTCATAGTAATTAGAATTTAGCTAACAAGTCAAGATTTATATAAGATTTTTAGTATAATAAAGGTTTAAAATATATCTATACCCTAGCTGTAACAAATAAGCAATCCCTGAAAAAGGGTCAGAAGTAGCACCTAAAAGAAAAAATATAACACTGGGCAGTACAGACACAAAAGAAGCATGAATGTTTTAGTGAACTACGGATTGTATTCAAATAGACAGAGAAAGGAGTATTAATTAGACTATAAAGAGACAGGAAGACAAACAGGATTCTTAGAGAGAAAGAAAGTAAAGTAGGTTATGGCCTATAGTAGGTATAGTATAGAGAGGCAGAGTGTTGGAACCTTGGTTGGGAAAGCGGGATTAGGGTAAGATGAAGACAACATACACACCTCACTCACTCCATCCCTGAAGTTAAGATTGCTTTACTATATGAAAGACAGTACTGATAAGGTTTATTACACCTGAATGCATGGAAAATAATGATGAGAATTTCCAATACTAGATAGCTCAAAAAAAATCAATGTAACCCAAAGAATGAATAACTCTAAAACCCAAATTCATTACTAAATTAAACAAACACAGAAAAGCCTTAACCACACTGTGGTGGGCAACTTTGTAAGACAGCTTCCAATCATTCCTAAATCTTGGTATGTAAAAAATATTATGAACTTATTAATATTATAAGCAATTATTAGTTAATGAGAATTTTCTTAGACTCACCACTGCTGTACTAAATCAAATTAGAAGTTGGAAAGTAAGTTGACCACAATATTTATTTTAAGCTATAAAGCATCAGGATACTTTGTATTAAGCACAATTATCAAATTATTTCTCTGGTAAGTCATGAAAATTATTCTTTCCATCTCTGATTTATATTTAAACTAATATAAGAGCTTAATTAAACTTGACTATAATCTATAAAATGCATTCCCTCTACCTACATGATTCTGAATGGTTAAAGCATCTATTCTAACTGATCACCATAAGGGCCCCACAGTTTGCAGACAAAGCAAGAACCTAAGTTACCTGACCCCAGCCCACACACCTGACTCCATAAGACTGATTTATAGCAGCAAAGAGGGTACTGATCCAATTGAGATTTTCCATTGACCACAGATTCCTAACACAAAGCTGACCAGAGTCTAATTATTGATTTGTCTCCACTTAATGTCAATAAATGCTGGCCACAAAAGTTTCCTTAAAGTCGAAAGTCATACCCTATAACCCCAATCATCAGTGCCTTAACTTTAAATCTGTTATCCTTTTTCTGACCACTTCAGAGACAAAGGAAATTCTCTCCATATTATTTAACATATTCATGCTCATAAAGATAAATTTAAGTTACACTTGGCCTCTCTGCCTGAAACAAAAAAATCCTCATTCTCTAACATTTTTCCATAGCTGTAATCCTTTATTCTCTTTTGACTCTCCCAGTGTTTTAATATTCAAGTTTTCATGTATCACTGATGGACCCAAACTGAACTAAATACATATAGCTTGTAAAAGTTTCTACATAATGAATGGTTCCCAATGCTGTCAAATTCTAAAATTTAGATGTCTATCTTACCCTTTAGGAATGAGCACTTGGTCCAGAGGGTTTTAAGTTGAAATTCATCGCAATGAGAAATAAACTTCTATCCATGAAAAGATCAGGTAATAGTGAGTAAAAAGGATAAATTGGGGAAGAAAAAGGAACCATGATGGCAAATTATTTCTCTGATAAGTCATGAAAATTCTTCTTTCCATCTCTGAATTATTTAAACTAGATGAAAGTTTGACCCATCTTTAGGTTGAATCAAATACTTGAGTCCTTAGCACATAAACTATATCTAATCATCTTCCTCAAAGAGTGTAAGGATAAGAAACAATTCAGAAGGTCAAACTTTACACTATATTTCCTCAATTAGAATATCAGATGAAGAATTCTCAAATTTATAGGTAAAATGTGCACCTGAAATATAATCATCTCAGGAATAGGCCAGGATATAAAAAAGAAATAAGTTCAAGGTACTGGGCACTCTAACAGACTACTAAACCAGTCAAGCATTAACTAAAAGCTCAAATTTTATCAGAGTACACATAAATCAACTTTATTCAGTACTGTAATCTAATACATCTTTATGACAGTGACATCTGGCTGAGGAACACAAACAAGTGTATAAGGATTATGAGTATCAGGATTCTAGAAGAAAATGATTGCAATAGGAGACAGATAACTTTTGCTGTCAATCAAATTTCACAAAAAAACCACTGAAATAAATTTTTAGTTTGTTCTATTGAACCCTAATTCCACAATGTTTTTCATTTATTGATATTTAAGCAGTCCAGTTTCTATTCTTAATAAATATACAGTGCAGGTCATAGGAATAAAAAGTTTACCACTGATTTTAAAAGTAAATAAAATATTTCAATGAAAAATAATGCAATGAAATATTATGTTATAATAAAACACTGATGGGTGAAATCAAATATGATTATATATTTAATTGTTATGACATAAAATCTGTCAAATTAATACATGCTTATTTAAAGTTACCATAAAATATGTTTAAGCAAAGGTATATATCAATCTCTTCTAAGGTGTATTTCTTTCCTCTGTTTAGAATCCTTCATTGGCCTCCCATTGCTTTTACTTTTATTTTTTCCATCATCATTTATCCCCTATACCTTCTTCCACCTCCCCCCCACCCCACAATCACCACACTGTTGTCCATGTCCACGAGTTCTCTCTCTTTTTTCTTCTTCTTTGC